GTGGAAAATAGGAATATAGAGAAGAACCCTACAGTTTACAGCATACACTTGTCCTCACGGTAGTCAAATAAATTTACAATGCATTAAACCATGAAATAAATTACAATCTTATTGACATCAGTGGCAAAAAATTGCAACAAAGTACATATATTTCCATCTTATGGGAAAAAAAAAAGAAAAAAAAGAAAAGAAAAAGAGAAATACTGATGCCACCCAATACCTGCTGAAAAAGAAAATAACCAGGGCAGACTTTCTCACAGAACTAGTGAACTGAACATTTCTGATTCAAAAACTGCATATGTACAAACTGACAGATGACCAATTATAAGGCGGATTAGAAGAATATCAACTCAATCTAGTTCGAAAACATTGTGAAATTAGTTTTGTTTGCGGGGTGCATCTGAACACGGACAATCGATTCATAATCCAATCAATCTATTATCAAAGAACATTTATGCATGTATTCAATTCAAATCCACTTCATCAAATACCCAGTACAGCCCCAAAAACATTTATCTCCTAATACATCACAATTCACAATCTCCAAAAACAGTTTCCAAAACACTTTTCTCTCAACACCCGAGACGAGATGAACACAAGCATTTCCACATATGTTATGTTCTTTTCAATTCCGTTTAGGCAGATCTACTAGCATCTCCCAATAAATTATCTGACATTTACTTCCAGAGTAACTAAACCCATTCCTCCACCATTTCTTAAAATGGAAGGCCAATTACCTTCTTCTGAGATTAGCAATTATGCCACTGCATGATTTACCTCAAATAACATTCATCGAGCTCCCTTGAACTGAATAAAATTACTTTTACTTTCCCCCAGTTTACACAGAATCACTCCAACAAAAGCCATTAAGAGCCGCAAAAAAGCTACGAACAAAATCCACAATTCACAAACAGAGGAATAAAATTACAAAATTAAGAATAAAAAATCCTCAAACCACCAAAGCTGCAGGGTACCAAAAATCCTATCATTCAGCACATGAATTTGTAATGTAAAGAGTAAGTATCAGTAGAACAATCAGAATTTCGTCATGAACGGTTCCGTCGATTTGCAGAAGACGATCGGTTCCAGAAACATCTACTTTGTCCGAATTAAGCATACAATTGGCCATGAAAAAGCTCCAAAAAAAAAAAAAAAAAGGGACACAAACATGGAGGATCCAATATTACCTGACAATTATGGAGATGCTCGAAGGAGGTCGAGACATGGAACTTTTTCACTCCGATTTTCTGTGCGGAGACATCGTCTACAGTTGTGTACGCATGCAGGTAAAATCGAAAAGCAGTAAAAAGGATTTTGACCTTACCCGCATATTGTGAAATACGTAATAACTAGTGCAACGTCCGTGTATTACGCGGGTGTTTGTCCGTGAACATTTAAATACCTTTTATTAAAATATATATATATTATTATATATTTAGTATGACGGGAGGAATTCGCAGATATTCCATGCGTAGAGCACGCAAGGCTTTGAATCCAAATACATTTCCTACAATGGAAGTAAACACGTTAGTAATATAACTTTCTTCAAAAAGGTCAAAGGGGTAAGATCTATTGATTTGTTTCTCCAGGAACGGGCTCGATTTGGTAGCATTGTCCTTTGTAACGATCAAGGCTAGTAAATCCATCGGTCCACACAGTTGTCCATGTACCAGTAGAAGATTCGGCAGCTACTACAGCCCCCGCTTCTTCGGGCGGAACTCCAGGTTGAGGAGTTACTCGGAATGCTGCCAAGATATCAGTATCTTTGATCTCGTATTCAGGAGTATAATAAGTTCTTTTTATTTTGGTGACTTACTTGTGTTATATTATAATATATTTTTTAACTTACAACATATAACTACATTAAACATAAATATATCAACTGAGAAATAATTTTATTTTTCTAATAAATTTTATCAAATATTATTACTTTTTATTATTATAAAGATAATTATAATTTATTTATTTTATATATACAATATGGATGTCAAATCGAACATCATGAAAAGATGATTAATTTGATATATTATATATGTAAACCGATAAAAATACAAAAGTTATCAACTTTTAAAATACATTTACAATTCAATAGCTAATTGAAGGAAACAAATCAAAAGTCAGACATATATTAGTCACTTAGTGTCTCACTATGTAAAATTACAAAGAATTAAAGGATTATATTAGTACAAGTGATATTAAAATACCTAAGTTAGCTAACTAATATTTATAGAATATCCCAACCTAGATTATTAGTTATTAATATATCAATATTATTTGTCTAAACCTAATTACGAAGCATGATTCTTCGCCAAGTAGGATTCCAAAGCACCAGAAGCAGCCACGTAGACTCATAGCATTCGAGAATTATACATAGAGGGAGGGGATATATTTCTGAATATTTTACATCGAATTTGTATATTTTAAATAGAATATTGTGCTGTATACATATACAAATAATATAAATGAAAATATAACAAATCCATGAGCCGTGAGCCAGTTCTAATATTTTACCTTATCATATATCTAATAACTAGGAATCTCTTGGTTGTGTAATGCACAGTCGGCCCATAATACCAAAATATTTATGTTTAAAGATGATATTCCTAAATTTTAAACATATAGATCCAAAACTACATCAAAAGACTATCGAAAAAGAACTTATGCTCACAAATGTACCTAAAAATATTGATAACATAAACAAATTATATGACAAAAAATTGATACCACGCAGAACTGTTAAAACACGAATTTTAGTTTTCAAAATAAAAAATAGCTAGTCAAACATTATTTCTTAGATGCCCAATTAGTCGTAAAATTCGCCACGCTTATTAAGTAGTTTATAAACTATTTATTTTCCCGTGTAATTAGTTTGAGCACAAAAGATTACAAATTATCTCAATTTTCACCATGTAAGGGATCCCAACCTATTTTGTAAAGGATAGAGATACCTATTCGAGTATGTTACTAAAATTTATACATCTCATCATTGAGAAAATAATGACTTACAACAATTTCTTCTTAAAGCCGATACATTTGCCTTTTCAAAATGGATAACATAATAAATTATACGACAAAAAAATTATCCCATAATGTTAAAACACGACTTTTAGTTTTTCAAAACCAGTTATACAAAAATATTTTATAAATATCATACATTCTCTTATTATAAATACTTATGTAAGATTATTATTATATTATAATATATTATACATTTAATATTATAAATATTTATATAATAAATTATTTATTTTAAATTCTAAATCGATATATTTATTTTTTAGTGGCTTTTGAGTAATTTCTAATGTCTATTTCTTTGTAAGGACATAATTACCCTTACATTTTTTATGAGTGTCCAAAATTCTTGTGCTATTTATATATTTTTCTTTGCATCATTTTATTAAGATTTTAATAGTCAAAAATAAACACAGGAGAGTTTGGCTATCCACGTGGCACTCATACACCCCTCTCAACCTCCCTTTATTAAGATGTACTAGGAATACTCAGCTGTGCGATGCACAGTTGGCCCACACAAGTATTCTTCATTGAGCAACAAGTCAATTTTATAAGCTGTTTCGATATAGTTCGGTAGTTTCTTGGAGTTCCACATGCTCCACAGCCAAACCCAAAAGAGTCACACGTACTCGTAATAGTCGACCGAGAAAATGTGGCTCAGCTTTTCCCGGTGAATCACTTCGTGGCACCTCCAAACCTTGTCCTTTGGGTAGCGTTTGTCGACGTAAAGCATCTCCCAAGGGACCTGAAGAGCACCGGCAGCCGCACGTGCCGATAAGGTAAACCGTCGGATCTCGTCGATGTCCTCCCCTCTGTACAGGGAGATCACCTTGTTGTCTCGAATCTAATCGAACCCCCCAAAAAAAATGAAAAACGAGTATCATGATGAAAAAAAAAGCACCATCTTTTTTGTTCTGCTTTCCTCTGTTTTCATGTTGTGCCTTTGAGTTTTTTTCTAGCTTGCTTTACTTGTCGGATAATCCCTTTACCGAGCAACCATACACCATAAAGAAGCATAACAAAAATCTCACAGTTACCCATTCGAAAAAAAAAAAAAAAAACTCAACTATTTTGTTCTGTTTTTCTTTGTTTTCATGCCCTGGCTTCGAGTTATTTTTAGCTTGTTTTACTTGTCCGAAATTGAGCAATCAAAGTAAACCAAAAAAGCATCAAACACGTACCTATTCGGAGAATGGCGGGTCGATGGCA